GATTCAAAACCAAATCGATGAAATACTTGATGAAATCAACGAATTTAATTATCATTGTCTCATTAATATTGAATATTTCAATTTTTTTATTCATATTAATGTTGATTTAACGAAAATAAAAAAATATTTTGCTGACTCTATTCGTCAATAAACAAATCAAATTGATAATAAAACTAAATAATATTTAATTATATATTCGATGAAACATTAGTCATATATGAACTAACATTGTTTACATCAAATTTGACTAAGAACAATTAAATTCGTTTGATTTTTAATTGATTATATTCGAAATATAAATAAACTAAAAAAAGAAGAATATATATTTCTTTTCATATATATCTATGTTTACTTTATAATCAATACATATGTAACAATGAAAACAATAGGCTAATTACATCTACAACATCTCTGTAAGCTAATTCGATTTTATTTGTCTTTTCAATTGAAAATTTTTGAGATAAACACATTTAAAAAAAAACACGAACATCATTACTTAATGCAAGGCATTCTTCGTTATCTTTTCTGTCTTCTTACGCTTTCTATTCACGACGTTTGATATCGATCGTATAGAAAATGATTTTAATTTTCTATTAATAATAAATATATTATCATGTAGAAATCTCTCTCTAACAAATATTTAATACTTAATTGAATTCTCCAACGATCGATGATTGTAACTTGATGATCAAGTGAATTCATCTAAATTAGTTTAATAAAATGTCCTGAAAAAATTAATCTAACCTGAGTAATCATCCATAGGGAGAAAATTTTTCAAAGGTTATTTATATGTTTATTATTTTTAAAAAAATTTAAAGTAATAATCAATAAATAATGATTATTCATAAAAAAGAGTATGTTTATCGAGAAGTTAATTATTTTGTAGAAGTTCTAGTGAAGTAAGAAAAAAAAAACACAAAATGAAGTTTTAGTTTGTATTTTTATGTAATTAGCGATATTTTTCTTTCTAAACTTCTAATCAATGATTTTATCAATCGAAAATAATCTTCGACATAAAAAAAAAACTTGACAAATAAAACTGTTATATTAATAAGAAGTTTCTTGATCAATAAGTGAACCAGGATATTTTCTAATCATCCATTTTCTCCATTCATCATAAATAAAAACAAGTAATGTGAATGGCAATGGTAAAAACCACCAATGTAATCTAAAAAAATAACTTTGTTCATTCATATATAAATATATAATCAATGATAAATTTACTTTAATGGATACATCATTAAACCACGATTGATATATGGTGTGTAAGATATCAATATAGCAAGTAAAGTTTCAAATATAATACTCATATTGAGAACATGATTCCTTTTAAACAAAAACAAAGTAATTATTCAAATATTTCTCTAAACTACAACAATAAAAATATTTTTTTTTATATTCCTGCACTTTCAAAGTATTTCTCTTAAGCATTTCAATCAAATATGTCGAAGCCGCTATGGCTCAATGGTTAAAATGTTCGACACATATCTCAAGATAGTATGTTTGAACCTCACCGTCATCAGACATAGAATGACCTTGAACAAGTCACTAACAACTGTTTGTTTCGAACCATCCATCCGATAGCACAATGACTACGTTGTTGACATACACCAAAAAAACCCTTGTGGTTAGTCAGCATTACATGGGAAGCTTATGTAATTAAGCGTGAGAAACTCTGCGTCAGGCTGCCCTTCTGTCCAGAACTGCAACTAATAATAGTTGTAAGAAAAATATCGGGCCTTCGAAACTGTCCTTGGACAGCATCTTATACTGAAAGGTAGCCGAAAGGCAAGGATATTCTTCTTATTCAAATATATCAATAGATATTTCTTTTTTGTTTTACGGATAATACACTGACGGCCAAAATTATTCATCGAGCTGAAGAAAATTTTGGAAGTACTATATTTCCACAATTATCAAGCTTTTTGAGCTGCGCTTTTTTAGTCAGAATGTAAAGTACTATATGTAGTGTACTTGTAGAAAGTTTCAGCTTGATCTATCATTAAATGACTGTGTTAGATAAGAAAACAGAAAAGTCATGTGTTTCAGTTTCACTTAAAATTATTCATATAATGCATTTGTGAAATACATCGTTTTCGGATACCACAGAGGTCAAACAGGTCAAATTCATTTTTCTTCT